TTTTCCTATCCTTACTTCTGTCTTGTCGATAAATCCATTTTTATTTCTGTCCCAGGCCTTTATCTTCTCTTCCCAAGGATCTTTGTCAGCACTCTTGTCAGTGTCTTGGCTCGGCGGACTTTCGCTCATACCTTTTTCCAGAGCCAAGTCTATGATCATTTCGCACTCTTCATCGGTGAAGAAGTTTGGAATTTCTGTAAAACAAGTTTGCATTAACTAATTAGTGACGTTCTAAAGCAAAGAACTCTTCAACTTGATAAAGAGATAAGCCAAAAAAGTCTATAATTGACTACAAGAGCTAGTTATGTCTTGTACTGCTTTGTGCGCTCCCAGACCCCATTTTTTAATTGACGTTTCCTCGCACTTTGTCGCAAAAACTAAAAAACTATGAATTCCGGTTGTCATTGTGAAAACCAGGTTGAGCGCCCGGCGAAAGTTGTCACGCCAGCTTGTTACCATGATGATACATTGTGTTAGTTAGCAAAGTCCTGATGTAAACTTTGGTCTCAGTCAGGCTCACTTCTGAGACGGAGAGGATTCTGATTGGTGGAAAAAGCCATCTTGTTTCCTCGATCTTTTTATGCTCTCCTGGACTTAAGTAAATTCTTATTAATAAAATGTCAAAATTTCTTTTGTGATCAGTTCCGAGCTTTTTTTTTTTTGCGAGCCAGGTCAAGAATGAGACTAAAGCTTCCCAATGTAAACACTCATTTACGTTTTTCTCAGCTCAGGTCGCTTTCATGAAAGTTAAATTCAAATTATCCACAAAATATGAAGGAAAAAAGATTTCTACTGAACAACAAACTGTTCTCCTTTGTGTACTGTTTGAAAAAGCAATTCGTTGAAACTAACTCCCGAGCAGTCCGTCTTAGTGGTCCATATTGCAAAATTCGAAGCGGTTAGGGAACCAAGTTAGAATTCCCCTTTTCACCGTAGACCAGTTTGCCATATAACAAAAGATAGTTACGGTGGACGAATCTAAATTCGACTTGATAAAAACTACTTCACTGCACTATTAAGTTGGCCTCATTCATGGCATTCAGTTTTCATGGCATCTTTAATACTCAGCCCTAACATTGTTAAAAGTATTTACCAAACACTGGTGGCTTTAAGCTGAGAGTTCTCACAGTGTGCTTGCTTCCCTTTGTTAGTTCCATTTCTTGGGTATGTCCTACCTAGAAAAGCAGTTGTAGATAGTAAAAAGATAAAGAACGAGTAATTGGTGAAGAGAGGGGCCCCGTTCACACTTTGCCAGAGAAAGCTACTCGAAGGAACGATCAAATGATGGTGTGTTAGTTTTGTGATAAAATGGGGAAGTGCGGTTAGAATCAATACGCTATTTTATTTGGTCGGAAAACAGAGACCGACATGTTAGGACGTTGGTAGGTTTCTCGACAATGCTTGTACGTATTGAAGCTATCTCAGCAGTGATGTAAGGTTTGTTCGAATCAAGTCAACGATAGGATTGCGTGGGAATTTGATTGCTATAGACCCAAAGAGGTTTCTCTTAGTTTCTAAGCGAAAGACGCGGGAGTGGATCCTTCATCTCTCGCATTTTTCCCTTTACTTCAATCGCGCAGCAACGATACAGAACGGAAAGGAGTGGCTTCTCGCATTGTAGTCATGTTTTAAAATGATTTTATCCCCCTTCTTACTTCTTGGTTCACTTATTTCACATATTTGAAATACGTGCTTCTTGACCGATCAGTCAAGACACTGAGTTATCAGCTCGTGTACTTGCTATACTGCTCTGTGATCAATCTAAGTTACTCACGCGTGGCCAAACTCACACGGTTCAATGCAGTTGACCATCAACACTGACATTTTGTAGGAAAAGAAACAAATTTTAAAAAAAACTTTATTTTACTCAGCTTATTATACAAATACATTCAATGTTTTTTTGTTTAAGAAGTAAGTCCAAAGCTTCGGTCTGCACGAGTTAGACGATGAGATTTGCATCTCAATATTTTGGACATCCTTCACCAATAATGTCGAAAAAGCCAAATTTGAATCAAATGTTGGTTTGTCTTTCGATGAGAAATAGTTTTTAGAACACTTCCAGGAAGAGAGAATAAGGATGATCGAACTACTAAAATTCAATTTATGCTTTATAGTGTCCCATCTAATTCCGACGAGGGCGGTAGCTGTATATTATATAACACCGTTTCATTGCGTTAGCTCTTTTCCTATCCAAAGATCTTTTTCTTTATGCAAGCTGTTTTCCTNACGCGTGGCCAAACTCACACGGTTCAATGCAGTTGACCATCAACACTGACATTTTGCAGGAAAAGAAACAAATCTAAAAAAAACTTTATTTTACCCAGCTTATTATACAAATACATTCAATGTTTTTGTTACGTTTAAGATTTAAGCCCAAAGCTTCGATCTGCACGAGTTAGACGGTGAGATTTGCATCACAATATTTTGGACATCCTTCGCCAATTAATGTCGAAAAAGCCAAATTTGAATCGAATGTTGGTTTGTCTTTCGATGAGAAATAGTTTTTAGAACACGTCCAGGAAGAGAGAGTACGGATGATCGAACAACTAAAATTCAATTTACGCTTTATAGTGTCCCATCTAATTCCGACGAGGGCGGTAGCTGTATATTATATAACACCGTTTCATTGCGTTAGCTCTTTTCCTATCCAAAGATCTTTTTCTTTATGCAAGCTGTTTTCCTAAAGTTCGTTAGTCTTCATATCCTAAATGAAAAATATCCCTTTTCAAATTTTACCCCTGTATTTAACCCATTGTTTATATGACTTGATCTGATCACTGAAGGGTTACCAAATAATATAAGCACTAAGGTTACCAAGTGTAATAATAAACAGACCGACAGTGGTAGATTGCTTACAGAGACTAGCATAGAGGCCAAAATTCAACTAACAGACCATCACTTTATGCTATCTGTAGTAATTATAGGAGTGAGTAATAAAACAGGAATTGCTACTTGCTAGTGTTACTGGCTTCAATATAAGCTGAGCAAGCCATAGTTTCAAGATCGGTTTTTCGTTATTTTCTAGTATAAGTAGTTATACTAGTATTTACCTTTACTCCTTCGATTCGCGGTAAACGTAGCAGAATATTGTCTTTCCCCCCTTTCTGTCCTTCAGCTGAACAATCTTCGTTTCTACCGTGACATTCTCTGATTCGTTGCTCTCCAAGCTGGTCGGATTTCACCAAATGTTCGCTGCATGCCATAGTTACAAACACGTAAATTGCTGCTAGGACATGGTGATGATATATTCCCATTATATGCGCCCTAATCACACAAAGATTTCTGAAAAGTTTCTTGCTTTGATTTGAAGGAATCACAGTGTAGTTGAATCACTCTAAAACATCTATCATTACCGATAATTTATTCACCTTATAATTTATTCATACAGGTTCAACAGGTAGCTAACAAGTACCTGACACTGCCAATCTTGTTTCAAGTGTTCACCAGAGTGGGAACTGGGTTTGAGAGTTTCACCACCGAAGGTAACCACCTGCTTATCCTAGCGCGAGGTACTGGAAACGAGCCTTTATCTAAGCAAGGAAAACCCTCAAAAAGACCAAATGTTTATTACGAAAATAAACAGTTCAAATAACGTTAAATGCAAAAATTTCGTATAAACTGATAACTGGGACATAACCATTATGGCCTTAACCTAAATTTTTCTACGCCTGATGGGTTTCTTGTTTTTACGACTACTTTTTTCTTCATTTAAAGCGCAACCCATTGGTCTTTAAGAATCGAGAGTTATATAAATGCCGATACTTTTGTTATTTCCATGTTGATTCCAGTTAACTAAATAAAAATAATTCTAGCAAAGCGATCATGTGGTATTTGAAGCCCTGTCCACATTACGCCGGAGGAATTTAAAAACGCAGCTTCATTTCTCTGGTTAGGTCGACCGTCCACACTAGTCCGTCACGAGAACGCTTTTCAAACCGGAGAAATTTGAAAACGACGAGTTTACGTTTTAGTGTGGACGAAAAAATTTTGAAAACGAAGCTTTCCGTAAACGATGACGTCACGACAATCATGATATTCCAGTGCCCAAGAATTACTCAAACACAAATCCAAAATGGCCGGTGATTGATGCGTTTTCAAATTTCTCCGGCGTAGTGTGAACGGAAAACATTTGATGCGATTTCAGAGCAAAACCTTCGTTTTCCAATTCCTCGGCGTAGTATGGACAGGGCTTGAGGCAAAGTATATCGTCAAATTGCATTTTTGACGCAATTCATGTGGCTGTTCCGAGAAGGTTTCCCTACAGCAGCGTAAAAGCGCACCCGGCGGTGCCGAAAGGTGCTGTAGGGGGCTTATGGATGCAAGGTGTCAAAGCGCAAAAGAAGGGAAAAAAAAGACATGAAAACGAGTATTCATTTTTCCTCCTTCCCTCGGAATGTTCATTAATAAAGCACTTCACTGAATGGTCATGAATATCTAACCATCCACTGCATTCATAACAAGCTTCCTGGATTTCTCCATTCACTGAAGGAGAGAAGATGAGTGATTGTAAACGAGGGAATATTTAGAACTTTATTGAGTTTAGGTACTTAAGAAAACTTGTACTAAGCCTCAAAAATCCGCATATTTACAGCCTTTGATAGTCATACCTACCATAATGGTAAGACAAATTAACTCGGTGACAGATATTTAAAAGTGTTATGAAAGATATCACTTTATTGCCTAAGATAACTTAACTGGTACCTCCTTTTAACCACAGACTTTTAAAAAGTTAGTACCATTTTTAGCAGTACAATAAAAAAATAGCACATGTTCTCACTCTTGGGTTTTATCTACAGACTTAAAAAATTGAACCAGCTGATACCGCATGATAAACAATACCACATGAAATATCTTCTCGATAGCTTTCATTTGAATAGTCACACTCTAGGGTTTTATCCACAGACTTAAAAGTTAGAACAATCTTGTACAGCAACAATAACTCTACCACAATAAAATGCTGGTCAATAATTTTCATTGAAAGGTACATGTGGTGGTTCATTATTACTACTGGTACAGTTTATGGATCTTCTTATGTTTCCTATACATTATAATGTATTACCATACGCCAGAACAAAGGAAAATATCAAATTGTACCGAGGGTAAAATTAAACCACGGCAATCACACGCCATGTTTTATCCACAGGTTAAAAATAAAGTACATCTTAATTTAAAAATTACTTTGGCTGGGTCACACTCGGCGCAAACCAAATACCAACACCACCAAGCAGGCCTTGAGATGGAATCCACAGGGGACGCGGAAGAGAGGGAAGCTAAGGAACAGCTGGCGACGGTCAATGGAGGGGGAGATGGGAGAGGCAGGCTTCAACCGGCAACAGTTGGAGAGACAGTCACAAGAAAGAGAGAAATAGAGAGACTTCTTTAAGGACCTATGCTCCCACGGGGTGAAAAGGCTCAAGTCAAGTAAGTCACATTAATGTACATAGGATTTGATTATAAAAAGTAAAAAGATTGATTATTCAGCTTTACTTCCGTCTACTATAGATATTCTACCGCCCTGGTTCAGGACCAAAGGAACGCAGAGCATCTCAAGTTTCTCGTGTACTTTCTTAGAAATATCTCGCAGTTCCTCCTCTTTCAGAGCTTCCATTAGCGACACAACAGCGTTAAGAACATGTCGTTCCTTCGGACGAGATTCAAACGTCCATTCTTGGGCGCTTTCCATATCGCTTTTAAATTCTTCCTCAATGGTATCTGGGAGATTGGTTTCTCTATCTTTTTGCATTCTTTGAATTATATTTTGATTTTCATGTTTCTTAGTCTCGGATATGAGGTTGGTTCCTCGTTTCCAGGCTCTTAATACCGTAGTTCCGTCGCCGTCTATGTTTAACCAATTAGTAGCTATCCATTTCTCGCCTTTGGTGACGTCACAATGTCCATAGTACATTCTGTTGTCCAGTCCTCCAATCCAAGTACCGTCATCATTGAGCACGTGATTGTACCACATGATTGCCTTGCCTCTCTCTGGTTTGATTACCAAGTTTCCTTTTGAACAATACTCGTGAGAATTGCATTTCCTAAGCTCACCATCCATCCATTTCTGTTGAGAAAAACGAGATCTTAATCTTGAGTTTAATAGCTACCCATGATCGACTGTATTGTTATTAAGGTTTTGATATGAGGATAGGATTTTCTTTAACCTTAACTAGTTATTATATTAATTGGTTTGTAACGAGTGACATGCAATTGGCGGTACCGAACTAAGAGTGGGGACCGTATTGGTTTCAAGCACATCGATCCCAGGTCTTGAGTCTTGAGCGCAGTAAGGTAAGACTGGACCTATCTTCTGTCAGTACAGTATACGAAAATAGAAAGACCCAAATTTCGAGAGGCTGAAAGGAAAGACGGAGTTAAGGTCTATTTTAAGAGGTTCAGTTCAAGTTCCTTACAAAAACGAGTGCCTTGTATCGAGATGAAAAAAGGAAAAAAAAATTCCTTATGATTGATGGCTAACGACAGTTTCCAGCACTTTTCAGTGCTCTTACTTTAATGGGTTTACTCTAACTTTTAAGTAGTTGATGCTGCAGTTATGGATTTAAACCAACGTCCAGTCATTAGTGAACATGCTGTCATTTTCTGTGCAAAACATATTGTCTTAGCAACACGGGACGTCGGGTGACCCAAATGACCGAACAATTCAAACGGATGTTCCATAGCTTGAACCATTTACTATAACACTATAACTTCTTTATTGCTCAAATAATGCTCCCCCTCCTCCCCTATTAATTCAAACAAGACCTACCTCATAAGTTTTGTGGCGCATGAAAAAACGCCCATGCATCTTGCTCTTGCCAGGAATCCACCACTTTCCTTCAATTTGCGTATTACCTTTCCATCTCCCAGCGTATTTAATGGAGGCATCACTCTTCTCTTGAGCCAGATACTTTTTGCGAAATCTTATGATGTCCTCTGTCAACAAACTGTCAATCAACTCAAATTCTTCACCACTGTCGTCTTTTCCTTTTCCATACAAAACCCTATTAGCACTGTCCTTTTTAAACTGGATATCCACTTCGAAGTGATTTTCGCTTCCTGTTGTCTTCTCATACGTGAAGAAACCAGTCCAGTTACCACAATTTTTCATGATGTCATCCTAAAAGGAAGATTTCCCTGTTGTTATTAAGCGGTATTACATCCCTCTCCCCCGTGGTGGGGGGCTCCCATATAAAAAGCGGACGGGGTGCTTGTCTGGGCATGGCTGGTACCAGTCTAAAACAACACATTATCTCCTGTCATATATTTTTTTTGCTCAATACCCTAAAAGGTACTGCAAAAGTTCCCGCTGTGGATCTAAGAGGCTGAACACCCTAAGGAATCCAAGCCCTTTTTTAGCCCCTAGGAGGTACGACGAGCACCGCCGTCCTTTTTTTTTATGGGAGTTCCCCNCCCCCCCACCCCTCCCGGGATTACAACCTCATGGCGTCATATATGGGTAGCGTCTTTGCAGTAATGAAAACACTAAGTAACGTGCAAGCTCATCGAAATTCATTGCGAGCTCTCTTGTGTTAGTTATATTAGTTTGCTATCAGCTTTAAGGCTGACATGTAACGCTCATAACGTCAGCTTTCGTAAGATCAACTTCAAGTTGATAATTAACTTAATGTTTAACTTTCCCGCTGACAGAGCAAAATTTTCTTTAGAATGGCTTTTGTTGATTGAGTCTTTTTCTTAAACTCAGTGCCAGCCTTTAACAAACGAAGACACGAAGTGATGTTAAACGAAATACCTCAAACTTGCTGTTTGCAAGGGGCAACACAACTTCCCCTCCACCATCAACGTCATTCAGGAAATAAGCCACTGTTATATACCTCAGGAAATATAATACAAATCGAGTGTGAGACTTAGGGCTCTCATGAAACACATTTAACATAACAGTAACACATAAAGAAAAGTGTAAGTTCTTCTAACGACAGAAAGTAGGCTTATTCATATTTTAATTCCTCGACTTGTCAAATAAAAATGGCTTAGATAAAAGCACAAATCCGTGGAAACACGATGTGTGTTTCTTGAATAGAAAACACCATCAAGCCCGGCGAACGTTGTCACGTGATCATGACAATAAACATAGCATGATGCTAAACAATCTCTCTGATGAAATCTGCTGACCATCAAGTTTGAAGGAGAAAAATGCTCAGATCCCTTGCTGGTTAGTGATAAATGGTTCATTGATGTATTTTCGAGCATACCTGCATATTATGCACTCTTGCATGTCACCATAGAGGCAGCATGGAACTCCTTCAAATTTTGGTTCGCTATCTTGCTGGCAATATTGATAACTGTTTTCTTCAAACTGCATCACCTACAAATAGATTTCAATGAATTTCTCTGTCAGGTCGTATTCCCTTGGTCTAAGATTGAAAGCGTATTCAAAAAAATAAAGGGCTTGTTCATTTACTTTAGGAAATTTCATTAATACTAGCGAAGATATCCCCCTAATAATTATTATGATATATTAGATTAATATGCTACTTACTTGCATAGGTTCGCTCTCTTGTATAATTTCCTTTGGTATTTTCGTAACTGCCTGTAGCCTGAAAATACAATTTTCTGTGAGCCCCATTAAAGTAGACCGAATTCGAAAGATAACTTTAACAAGATTTTATGTGCAGGCCTAGAAAAGCAATCCTTTTTTGCTTTCACCCTGCGAAAATCATTCATTTATCTCAGTCGGGTTTATTGAAAAGGTCTAGGTCATGTTGATTACAAACTGAATACCTGAATGCTCCTGGTCGCTTACGACAGAAACCGGAGTGTTCCGGACACGTAAACCACTTGTGTTAGCTTAAGCTACATGGTTATATATCAGCAATTAAGTGGACTACGAGTAGTCGGTTTTTGCTCCTGAAATCCTCCGCACACAGAACTCAATTATAATATTATGCAAATTAAGGGGAAGAAACGAGGAGGAATGGGAAGTAATTGGTAAGTAAATGAACTTGGTTTTGGACACTCAATTGAAAGCCACTCTAATACGTCAGGGACTTGATCTTACAAGAAATTCCTCACAACTCAGCTACCTGGACTAACGACTAAGGTGTCGGAGGCCTCAAGAAAAGAAATATACTTGCTCGAGTCTGTAGCCTCATCTAGAGGATCCTTCCATCAACACTCAAAGAGAGGAAATTGTAGACCTAATATAATATAAACCCAATATGTACTGACCGATCGTGAAATCCATCCAGTAATTCCGGTTGATATCGAAGAAGTTCATCTTCATCGTGCCACAACCAAGACACTTTACTGTTGGGTATTCTTCTTAGTGAGGAATCATTCAGAAGTCCGTCAACGTATTCTCTTATTCTTTCCAGTTCTATACTTTTGAATTCAGTCAGGTCGATTTTTCCTGTTGATAAAACAAGAACGTATGTCGTAAGGATAAATCAATTCAAATTCAAAGGTAAAAGGTGAAGTCTGGGTACGAGCCAAGTGGACCATCAGGCCGGAGCTTATCTCCGGTTTCTGTAGCATGAAGTGACTAGGAGTATTTCTACCCCCCCCCCGCTGGATGGGATACTGGTCGCAGGGCTACCCCCAGCATTACGTTCGCCGGTACCCATTTACACACCTGGGTGGAGAGAGGCACTGTAGGAGTAAAGTGTCTTGCCTAAGAACACCGCGAGCGCACTAATCATGAGGCAAGGGGAAACTGCCTTGTTAAAAAACTACTCGTGATGTCTTTTCAATTAATAAAAACTGGGAAAAATCGCGATTCTGTAATAATGGTGAAAAGGTACTAACCATTGTCATCTTTGTCCATTTGCAGGGTTTTCATCCTGAACAAAAAGAAACGACACTGAGACTAATTATCGTCTGAGAACTTGTGATGAAGAGGAAATATTGCATGACAACCGTAAGACAGACTAACTGGTGCTTGGCTTATGGTGAGTGCATAGTTGATACTGAGAAAGAAATTGATATGAAACCTGGGAAAGTTCTTTGTTGTATATTTTTGTTGGCTATTTTGGGGGTCGACCCTGCACAAAACCTGGGAAAATACAAAAGATGGTCATGTTTGCTCATATAACTAACCAATAGAAGCATTGTGATTATGTAATTAGCAGAGAACAAAAGATGTGCAGGGTCAAGGACCTTCCAACGTAAATCTTAACCTGTTTGTTTGCTTCTTTGATGTTTACCGGGTTTCTTAACCGCTACTGACTATGGTCAGTGTAGACTTTTAATATAGCCCTACTTACATCTGAGTGGCGTTGTGTTCAGTAAACTTCAGATCCATTTTACCAGGAATTAATACAATCTGCCGATGAAAATTTTGTCAGTTGCTTCAGTTTGGAAAAAAATAGATAAACAATGATTTAGTTGTTAATTCACTGTTACACCTTATACATTATAGTAGTTCTTCCTTTCCCTCTTTAAGCTTATGACTTGTTTAACATCTTTGTCGCATTTCTACCAGATCCTCCTTATCTTAAAGGCGATAATCTCGAAATTTCCGGCATCTTGAAATGAAATATTTTGCCTTTGGATGCGTCTTCTCATGCAGGCCCCGTCAATACTACGCCCGAGAAATTTGAAAACGCAGCTTTGTTCCTACGGTTAAGCCTTCCGTGCACACTAATCCGTCATGACAATGGAGCTTTTCGAAAACCCTCTTCAAATAGGTCGGAGGAATTTGAAAACGCCGGCTTCGCGTTTTCGTGTAGACAGAAAACATTTGGAAAGGGAACTTTTCGAAAACGACAACGTTACGATAATTATACATGTATGGACTTTCTTGCTCAGGTTTTTCTCAAACACAAATCCAAAATGACCGGTGATTAATGCGTTTTCGAAGTCCTTTAATTTGGCGTAGTGTGGATGGAAAACATTTGGTGCGTTTTCAGAGTGAAACCTCCTTTTTCAAATTTCTCCGGCGTAGTATGGACGTGGCCTCAGCCCTCAATCATTTACTATCGGCTATCTCGACTGACTGCCTCTCGTTTTCCTTGTGAGTTCGAGGTTAGCGTCGTTCAAGTGTATTTTCATACGAAGAAGTGTTTCACAAACCTCTTGTGGATCAATGTACTCATCACCATTCAAGTCCCACTGTTTGAAGGTGTTCAGTGGATCTTCATAGTATATTCCTCGATTGTTTGTTCTCTTAGGATTATCACCGAGCTTTTTATTCTCGGCAAGTGCTATGATAAGTTCACATTCGTCTTCGTCAAGAAAGTCACGAATCTCTGGATAAAACAACGAAATAAAAACGTAATAATGACATTAAGAGATAATTGATCTGATACGAATTGCACAATTGCGTGCCACTTTTTACTCATTTCAGCGACACCCAGTCATGTCTCATGCATGTTTGGTTTTGAATTAGAATTGAAGATGCATCGATATGTTTCTTCACAGAATTGTATAAGAAAAGAAAAAAGATTGACTTTACCCAGCATCAGTTATTGGATTTGGTTTTCGCATGATGTAGCAAAATTGTCAAAGTCTCCTTTCTTCTTAAATCAACTTCCGACTTCGTCTTCAGTTGACAACCTAACCACGAGTATTCTTTAGGCATAAGATAATCTTGTGAAAAGTCGTGTACAGGATAGTCTTATAGTAGCAGCAGCCACTTTATCTAAAGAGGGTGTTCGACACATATCAGGAGACAGTGATGGTGGCCCCCTATCGCAGAGAAGGCCTGTCCTGATTTATGAGAGTCGAAATTTGAAAGTTCAGATGATAGGAGTTTGCAGACGAACGTGGACCCAATCATGCTATGCATGCACGCGAACATTTTTTTGGACTCAACAAGTTTTTCCACCCTTTTTATATGGTGTGCTAGTGTTGCATCAGCCAACGTGCCAAGGGTAACTTGCCAAGTTTAAAACCTGGAAAGGAAGACCGACTTGCTTGTGTGTAGCAAGGGTTATGTTTTACATTATCTAACTAACTTTATGATCCATCTATAATTTCTTCTTACCAAATACAAGAGGGCGCATGCTCAGTGTCTTCATTTGACGCTTCATCCCTGGAAGAATCTCTATTTCCTGAACATGACCAACCTATCCAAGCCATACAAGACATTATTTTATTTGGATTGATCTAGACCTTAAAATTAGAGTTAATTAAGAGCCCAAAAATATTTGTTTGTACCTAACAAAGAAAAATAGAAGTGGTTTTACACAATCGTAGGAGTGCTACTCGATACAAATACATGCAGAGCGGAATGCGAATTAAGATAGAAACTAGTTGACAGTTACTCAAGTAGAGATCATCAGACGGATGCTTTTATCTAATGTAAATTAATCTTAAATTTTGCATAATACTGGCGGTTTTCGATTAATGTGCAGGTTTAAAAACAAAATGTAAGGAGCACATTTGGGCAAACTCAGAATCGCGCGTAGAGTGCAGTATTTTTTTTTCTGGGTTGGCAGTTGGCCAGATCAATTGCAATTATGATAGAGAAAGCCAGAAAGTTGCATAAGATGATTATGACAAATTTAAAAGAAAGTCAAAAGGAACGAGACACTTACCCTAACCCCATCAACTACCGGAATCTGAAGTCCTAGCCATTCATTGGTTGAATTGTCTATAACGTGTATTTGTTTATCTCCTACTTCTGATAAACTATTGTCATCTTCACTACTTGGTTTCTCCCCTAGGGAAACTTCTGAAGGAATCTCGACATAATCCTTATTTTGTAAGCTGGCTCCAGCGTCTTTTAAATTCGAAATGACGACGTTTTCAGGGTACATATTTTCATCTTTACTGTCAAATAAACTATTACCATCTTCACTTCTTGTTTTCTCTACTGGCGAATGTTCTGAAAAACTCTCGACTTCCTTATTTTGTATGCTGGCTCCAGTGTCTTTTAAATCCGAAATATCGACGTTTTCGAGATACATATTTTCATCTCCACTGTTACAGACGCCATCTTCGCCTTCTTCGATTCCACACGTGCCATGTCGCAGTGACTTGTCGGTAGCGTGAACTCCCAAGCTCTTCATACTAATCAAAATACATAACAAGCAGCAAAGAAAATTCAAAGACCTTCTATCCGCCATAAGGTCGATGAAACCTATGTTTATATGCCCGGCGTCTAAGTTACGGAACCTCGATCAGAAAGTTCTTCATAAATTAATGATCCAAAATATCACGGCTGATTTGCTTTTCATTTATGAACTACAGATTGTTTTACTCCAACGCAGCCATGTGCGAGTGTATATTACTTCCGATGCTTCTGATTGGTCAGTTTAAATGAACCAAGCGGGTACCAAAAGGTACCAGCGTTATAAACAAAGACAAACGCGTTAAGTAAATCTGTGCTCTGCAAAATGTAGCGGGTACTTTGTGACATCTGTTTAATGTCCTCATAGTTTTTAATTGTTCAGTTTATTTTAAAATCCATACAGTATTTTCGCGGGGTCTGGCCTTACGAGACCCTCTGTCAATATAAACTGGGTCTGCATTTCAGTTCTCGGTTAAACGTTAAGTCGTTAAATTGTTGGTGGTCATTAAACGACAGGAAAATTTCCTTCAAAGTTCCATAAAGTAAGCAATGAGCAAAACGCGTCGAAAATGATCTTAATTGGAATAATGCTTGGAGTATTTTGAACTGGTATAAAAGTCATACGATTTGCCCATCTTGAAACGCTTAGCCCAAATTTTTCAAGTTTGTCGTTTATAATCCGTGTTAATCTTCCCCATCCTTAACCATTCTTATTCCTTTACGTTTTATTAGTATTATCTCTTTGGTGTTTTTCTATTTTACTAAACTGCTATTTTCAGGTTTCCTTCAATGTAAAGGTAATTTTGTACGTGGTCAAAGCAACTCAAAATACCGTGACTGAGCTCAATTTACTCTGTGGGAAGTGTACCCCGTCAAGAGCAGGTGCGCGTCCAATTGATTTACGAAATTCTCGTTGTCCTGGAAAATTTACCAAGAGGAAGTTTGAGGAGTTATTACGATTGAAGACAACGGTATCGCCGGAAAATCGATATTTTAAAGCAAGAGTTTGCATCAATTACGAAAGCCATCTTAGAGGGTCCTGGCCATGGAAGGAGAGGGGGGTTATTTATCCAATTTCTCAGCGTAAATTTTATCCAAATCCCAGTCCCTTTCCAGATTTTGTTTGTGATTTTGCAGTCCCATTGACTCAAGTTTCATTTTTTCAGTGAAAAAAAAAAAATGAAATATAAAAAAAAAAAATAAAAATAAAAATAATTTTAAAATGGGCAATTCCTTTTGCCATTTTTACCCTCATCAGAGGATCAATCTCTTAAAAAAAGTTTCCCTTATTACCTCCTTCCTATAGTTACCATGCGATGGATTGGAATCCGCAAGGAACACGGAAACGTGGCAGGTCCAGAATTACATGGCGCAGAAGCACACAGAAGGACCTGAAGGAGATCAACATGACCTGGTGCGAAGCCAAAAGAGCGGCTCGGGACCGACAGAAATGGAAAGCAATTGTGGACGCACTATGTCCCCCATGGGACAAAGAGGACTAGATGATGATGATGCTATAGTTACCATGACGCGAGGTAAAATACCAAAAATGCTAAGATAAGTAAGGTTTGCAGTTCAAATAACGTTGAGTTATAATATGGGAGGAAATATGACAAGGCCCGAGAAACACAGGCATGGAAAAATGTGTTTAATGAGTCGTATCATGCCAGATTATTTAACAGATTAAATGAGAAAAAGAACAAAATTTGAATATTTTAGCGATACGGTGAGAAGATCATGAAAATAAATCACCAGGAAATTTTAAAATCAATTTGTGGTTGTAATATCACAGATATCAGCCAACAGGAGTCAACACTGATGATTTTCGCAACAGAGCAATAATAATAATAATAATTAAAATAAATAAATAAAAAAAAAGATAAAAAAATAAAAATAATTCAAAACTTCTCTCAACTAGTCTTCTGTGTCTAAACTTTACATTTCTAAAGGTAACAAACGTTGCTTGGTTACAAGGATTTGAAGCTGCTAGAGAAGCAATTTAATCAAGTGGATAATAACAGGAAAGCGTGACAGGCAGCGTTGTCACACAATACTAATTTGCGTGAACATATTGCAAGACGAAATCTCAGAGATCTTCCTGTTACCATTTTATAGTAAAAAAAACCCCTTGGATCCAGTATGATCTGTCTAGCATATTTTTCCACAAATGCTACATTTGTTGCATTGCCGTAGGACAGCCCAGTTAGTGGTGTGTGAAATTTTGTTTACAAATGATATATGCTAATTCTAATGTATTGGTTCGCTGCGGTGAAATCGACAAGTTGCCAGTAGGAAGCCATTAAAGATCAACCATGGCTCCACCATGTGTGGAAAACAAAAAGCTCTCGAAGGAGCGATCAAAGCAAAAAGCAGTGAAGAAGGATTCCAAATCATCTCTTCCAACAACAGCTCTAGCAGTCGCCGCGACCGCTTTAATCGCCATATGCGTGGCTGTTTACTACAAGAATGGATATAAAATTGAAAAGAAGCTAAACAAAGCGACAACGGGTGACTCTCGAGAATCAACAGGATCTAAAGTCGACAAGAGAAATGACATAAACACTGATTTTAAAGTTCTTCCTCGACTAAATGGCGTAAAGGTGAGTGAGGGAAAGCTTTACAATTAATATTCTATGAACGGTGATTAAATTTCAGCTGTCAGCAGTGAGTTAAACTCCGAATGACGTGTCGAGTGTATTGTATTTAATATTATGTTAAATACTGTTTCTACTTCTTGCTTATATGCTCAGTTGCTTCGAACCCAGACATGTATTGATATCTTCTAATGATAATCTACAATTCTATCTTCTGTGTGTAAATCCCTGAGTCAAAATTACAAGTTATCACGGAGTGAAACTTGCATTCATCGTATTCCGCGTGGATACCATAGTTTGTACATTCAATTATTTATATGTTTCGGACGTACAGATCAGGAAACTTTTAATAGTCTTTGCTTGGGAGATCGTAGGCCTCCAGCAAGACTACATAAAGCTTAAATCTGCGTTTAAATGCAAACATGAACGTGAATGAAAAATAGTGAATGCTAAATATGGAATGTTAGCTAATGTCAAAGCCAATTTTCTATAGCGTGACTCATTAAGTAACACAATCTTTAGTAAATTTCAGAGAAAGTTGTTTCCAGCCCACCTCATAACGCAATTAACGAAACGTAAGTGTCGTGTGAGTGAAATTCTGAAAAGATGATAAAAGAAAACAAGTTTTCCTCACATGAATTTGTTTGTCGATCAGCTTCCTATAGAGTCATATACTATGTACTGTATCTTCGTGTATACATTCTTTGTCTTTTTCGGTCGCTTGGGTTTCTTTATTTCTGAGTATATATGGTAACTTGATTTATAGTCATCATTTGTTTGTTTTAGGTTGGTCATGTACAAAAAAGACAGTTAAGCCCTGGAAAGATTTATGAAATAACAACACTTAGCCTTAAGCCACCTGTATTTGGTAAGACAACTTCTTATTTAAGATTCTTTGCTCTGTAATGTTTTATGCTAGCTAAATTGGCTTAACATGTAAATAACATATTTCTTTTGGGTGTATAATATTTGTTTCCTGTTTTTGCCAAAGTTGTACGTGGTTGTTTTAAGTTTAATATTTTTCTTATAAGAAGACTGTTTTTTCTGGCCCAGGCTGAATATTCTTATTTTTCTGCCGATTTAAGGCTAAAAATATTCTTGTGAATATTCTTAGACTAGATAAAGGAACACAAAGTGGACTATACCAATAAAATGTCATATTATCCGGCCTATCATGACACTGATGGTGTTGAAGTAATTTTGGAGCTAGACTGCAGCCAATAAGCTGAAGTGACACACTTGACATCTTTCAGAAATGCTATCAACATCAAATATATGGCTAGTGCTGAGTTTGTTGTTTTTTGGCTAGTTTTGCCGTTTAGTAAAAAACATAATTGTATTGTATTTACGAAATTTTCAACATGCAAAATTATATTCTTTTCAAAATCCCAGCCTCGGGTTTATTCTTAAAATGTTCCTAAAATGTCCAGTATTTCAGCCTCGATATTCTTATGAAATATATTCTAAGAAAAATAGTGTCTGCTTTTTTCTATGCCTTATACTTGTTATTTTTTATTTTTCTAGAAATACCTAACTTTTTAACTGACGAGGAATGCCAGAAAATAATCAGTCTGGCTTCAATAGAAGGACTGGACACCAGTGAAGTCCAAGACCCCGAAACGGGAATCAACATCGAGCCAACCAATGAGAAAACATTTCACAGCTGGGACTACAACAGTGATGGCGTTATTGATAAAGTTGAGGTAAGTACGGAAGATGAACTGAGAATCAGAGATTAAACGAGGCCGTGGTAAACAGCTTGTTGTTTAACACTGTCCAATGCATTTGTGTCACGATTACAGTAACGTTCCCAGAGTAACGACCCTTGGTACTCTCGCCGCTTGGCAGCTTTTTTTAGACTGTGTTCACACTTGATGCCTGAGCTCTGGCACTAAATAGTGTTGTGTTCAGACACTGGGTAGCAAGTGTGAACGTAGCCTTAGTGCTATTTTCGGAAGGTTTTCTCCGGATACTCCGATTTTCTTCTCTAAACAAGAAATAGAGAATAATTCATGGGCGCGCATAGAAATAGAATTTTTCTTCTGGTGTTGAACTTGAAGATGAACACGAGAAGAGAAATTCCATATCTACAAGCAACCATATACTATGTTGTTTATGATATAAACATTCTAACAACGTCGTTTTTGACGATTTCCGACCACTTTACAAAGATTTCCGAAGATCCTCCAAAAATCGTCCGAAGGCCTCACGAACGCTTCCGACCATTTCTGAAAATTACCGAAGATAACCGAAAAGTTCCGAGATAACCACAGATTGCCGAAGGCTTACGAGGAAGATCTAAAGAAGTTTCAATCATACACCAACAAATCGGGTCAAACATGATATCAAACATCACGTCATCGATATCATATTGAAATTTTCGTAATTTCCAAGTGTTCAATGACGGCTTTTATCAGCGCTCGAATTCCTTCTGAAACACGTCAGTTTTTAATACTAGACAACATTTCGAAATCCAAGTCGGCCATGATGGCTAGAACACTCAACATAAAAAGCAGATGGGGCTGGTGTGGCTACCTCTCAAATATGGCGATTTTATTTATCTTTTTTAAGTTAGATTTTCATGTTAGATAGGATGCACCTCTGCAATCGCAATAACGACCAGATTTCCTATCTCTTCCTCCATTGAATTAGATATGAATCAGTTGGTTCTATTCGTTGATCCTCGTTGCTATTGGCAGCCTGGCAAAAATTTGCCGCATCTGTTCGAAACATTGGACGCGCGATGGCCGTTATGGTCAGTGCGCTCGAGTCCGGATCGAGCGGTCTGGGTTCGAGCCCTAGCCGGGACGTTGTGTTGTGTTCTTGGGCAAGACACTAACTCTTACAGTGCCTCCCTTCACCAAGCTGTACAAATGGGTGCCGGCGAGTTTAATTCTGGGAGTAATGGAACTAAACTGACTTACTTTTTCTTTGAAAGCTCAGCAAGAGCAGTTACATTTGACCGAGAATCGAAAAAAAAAAACGTATCATTACAAATTACACGATATTGACCTTGAGCGATCAGCTGATGTTATCAATTTATGAAAAAATGATATAGTACGTTCGCTCTCACGTGTTTCTTTCGTAGTTGACTGAACAAACACGTGTACACGGTTTATGTGCTTGTTCGCTATGTAGTGTTTCCTACTACATTGTCATTTTAAAACTGAAATAAATTCTCCATCAGAAAGAAGTAGAGAAGGCTCTATTTCAATAGGGGAGGTGCGGTGGCCTTATGGTCAGTGCTTTCCAAGGTTAGTGAGTTCGAGCCCTGACCGGGGACATTGTGTTGTGTTCTTGGGCCAGACGCTGTACTCCCACAGTGCCTCTCTTCACTTAGGTGTACAAATAGGTACCGCCGAATTTAATGCTGGGGCTAACCCTTCAATAGACTAGCATCCCATCCAGGGGAAGTAGAGATATTATTAGTCGCTTCATGCTGCAGGAACCGGGATAAGCTTCGGCGTGATGAGCTACTTGGCTTGCATGCAGACTGCTCGAGACACTGGCCCGTCTAGCTGTAAACAGACAGGTACCTTGCATTCTCATCTCGTGTCAAAATTAAAGAGGCTGATACAGGTTTAGCTAAAGACCTAATGAATTTTCTTGGAGGTCTTTCAGACCTTGTCCGGCGAACAAAAAAAGGCCATTTGCTTAGGTACCTCCAATGCCCACTCTTTCTAAGGGTGAGTTTGACCCCAATGAGGTGAAATGAGGATTTACTTTCCAGATGCTAGGAGACAATGTACGTACTTCAGAAAGTTACTGTTTTAGAAAGGTGTGTTCTCTGAAGCGATGTGCCATGGAAGGTTGCCCAGTGTGACGTACTGCTAGCATACCCGGCTGGATCAGATCGCAGCTGAACAAACCGCAGTCACACTCTGGACTCTCCAAATGACATTTTGCACGCTATCGAAGCAGGTATTTCTGCCGCCTTGGGACAGGGCGTCTTGTGATTATCATATGGCCCAGTATAACATTTAGGTTTTTGGAACTATGCGGTCTAAGAGGGAGCAGGGATGGCACAGTGGTGAGAGCGCTCTTCTTCCACCTATGCGGTCGGGTGTTAAATGTGGGTTGAGTTTGATGTTGGTTCTCGCCTTGCTCCGAGGGTTTTTCCCCGGGTTTCCCGGTTTTCCTTCCTCCACAAGAACCAACATCTCCAAATTGCCATTCGAGCAGGACAGACGGGAACCCGCATGAAAACCAGCTAAGGCTGATGTGTCTTCCTATCTAAATATTGTAATTTATTTATTTATTTATCTACCCTCAGTGATGTCTACCTCAACCGCTAGGATTTCATCATTCCGGTCCACGTCTCGAGTTTTCTGCTGCCTTTCCATACCTTGAAGCCATGATCAGAGCATACATGTAATTTTAAAGAAAAGTTACATCTGGAATTTGTGGTATCGTTGACCTATTTAGCGACTCGGGCTCTCTGCAACACATATAGGTACAGCATTGCCTACGCGTGTGAGCCTAATTAGAAACTCTTCTGATGTGCTCTGCCGATGTTATTTCAGTGGTTCCTTTCATCAAGTTCATTTTCAGCTAAAAGATGCTTTTGGCATTAAAAATTAATCCTTGTACTTTCAAGGCTGGAACACAAAAATGGGCTTGGAACCCCTTCCTCCCTGTTTTCGGAATGTTAAGGTACGGAATTATTATGTCAGTAAACTTAGTACTCCGGCATTGATTATATCTTCTGGTGCAATATCTTTCAAAACCTGCTTTCAAGCCTATTGCAAGGTATCTTCACAACCAGGCGGTGTGTGTGATCGTATTTGAATTAACCAATAATATGTTGTGTTCATAGCCGAATAGTGTCAGTGAAGTGAAGTGGTAAGTACATTACCTTTAATGCTCGGCGTTCGCTTTGAAATTTCCTCGCCGAGCCTCAACCGTAGCAGAACTTAAGGCCTTGTAGGGCGAAGAGTGGCACGGTGGCCCCTTGTTTTCATTGGATTTTTTTTTTAAATAAGTAAACGTAGACTTGGTTGTTTAGTGTGCTAATTGAAAAAGTTAATTACCTTTTTAATTATCAAAGGAATCAGTTCAATAACTGCCCCCATTGAATACTATCGTGTCTTACTACTCAACTTGATAGTGGTTCAGTAAATATTGTTTGCAATCTGCAATACCTTGAGGAATCTTGAATTGGTGTTTCATCGTGACAGTTGTGGCCCTTGGAAACTATGCATTCGATAAGTGCATTTATCTTCATACCGAAACAACTGATAGCGTCAGTTCCGTGGACGTCATTACATGGGAGACGTCAGTAGCGACAAATATCTCTCATTCCTTTAGGGTCAGTTCAAACAATGCTTGAACAAGTTTATAATCATCGCCTTCCTCTAGCAGACGTTTGACACTGTTTTTGATCAACGGGGTCAAGCAATTTTGCCCCAAAACGTTAAGCGTAGTTTCTTATTGGTAGTTTTAGTTGACTGACTTAATTGGGTCCATATATTAGTGTAGACGAAACGTGCGTTGTTGCATTCACGCACACTGTTCGTTGGTGCAACAACGTTTTTTTTTTCTCTCTGTCATTAAGAATCCAAACTAAGATCATGAGCTTGAACAGAAAGATTGTTAGAAAGCTTTCTCAGGTGGAGAAGAGACATGAAGCCTCTTTGGTACAGAGCCAGTTTGACAGCAAAAAGACATACTCTACCAATTCGCGGCGACTTTCCCGAAATATTTCAGACCCTGGATTTTATAGAACTGCCAATCCTTTTGGCAACTCCCAAAACAGCTCAAGATTTCCAAAGCTGGTTGTCGAAAATGCACCGAAAAAGAAAATGAACGGTGTTGTCAGTCTGAACAAACAATGTGAGAGAAAATATAGATCGTGGAGTGATCCATGTGGAGAATGTCAATGTACAGAGAACAAGGAGAAAGTGGGTCATGTGGGAACATTTTACAAAGACGATGAGGACACTTTTTTACCAAGATTGGGTAAAGCGCGCAAAACAGAAACGGACAGCTGGGAAGAAAAATCTTTCTGCGATTCTCTATCAAGCTATCCGTGTTCCAGTATACCATCGCGAAGCCATTCGGTTTTAACGGATGGCGAAGAAGACTTTTTCGTCTTAAAACATGAGACTGTCTTCAGCTGGGTTTATGGTGGTAGATATGGTCGTAAGACGGGAAACAGATTACCATCCAGTATGTAATCTCCTTACAATAACACAACGTTATTTAAACCAAACAGATACTGTAAACAGCCCAAAGAAAAAGTGGATCAGTTTTCCTTTACTGAAATCGTCATTTTTATTCCATGTGATATATTATATTCTGTGTGTTTATTTTTCGTGTAAAATCAGTCATATAATCGCAGATAACATGTAATCACCAACGTCATATAGCCTAATTCAAAACAGGATGTTGTCAAAGACAGCGAAACATAAATTGGTATTATGTACAGTTAACATTTGAACTTGAAAAGTGTGATATCCATTGACCATTTTGGAACAGCCTCAAGTTATGTAGTGTTTGTTTACAAACTTGAAAGCAATTATAATTGATTGGAGGGCGTTTCAGTGGAAATTTCTGTGGGTTTGGAGTCTGTTATGTTTACGTAAGAAGAGGTTAATATTCGCCGGAAACCACTGAATTAAACATATCAACTCATATCATATATTGGGTATTATATATAATAAATAAAGATAATAAATTATGACACTTCATTTGAAACATTACT